GAACAAAGCAGTTAAACGAGAAGGATGATATTACAATAAAACCGAATTTTTTAAAATCGAAACTCATCACCACTTATTGCGTAGTATACCTGAATGGATTGAAGTCCTTATTTACTATGGAGAAACCACGAAACTCTTCTTGATTGATGTCGCTCATTTTGTCTGCACTCTCCGGCGTTAACACAGGATCCTCCTTCGTGAATTCCGTATCAAAGTTCAAGGCATCTTTTTCATTTTTCTGAAAATTGCCAGGAACAATTGCGTCACACGATCGGTCATTTATTATTCATTAATCAAAATAACAAATCGCGAAACTCACAATTTTAGGTCTGATTGGAGGTTTTATTTTACGCGCTTCGAGAGCTTCCCAATCTAGATATTTGAAAAATGGGTGGACCCTTATGGCACTTTCGCCACCGTCGGCTGCAACACAACCTAATCGCTTGGCAGGATTCTTGGTCATAAAGGCTTTTAAAACAGACTCCGCTTCCGGAGAAACCCACCCTGGAAACACTAAGTCATCCCGTAATATCGATTCGAACAGATCGTCCTCGTTCTCGGCCTCGAAGGGTGGTTGTCCAGCCACCATTTCGTATAACAAAACACCGAGAGCCCACCAATCAACACTAGCACCATACGGTAATTCTTGGAGTATTTCGGGAGCTATATAGTCCGGCGTGCCACAGAATGTCGATGTTGTCGTTTCACCCTCGATTATATTCTCCTTACACATTCCGAAATCCGCCAGTTTACAATGTCCTTCTGCATCCAGCAGTATGTTGTCCAGTTTCAGATCACGGTATATAATGTGATTTCTATGCAGGAACTGAAGCGCGAGTATCACTTCCGCTGCATAGAAACGTGCTCTCGATTCGTCGAACTTTCGAGCCTTCTGGATATGGAACATCAGATCACCTAGAACAAATCAAGAGATGATAATAAGACATTCGGATAAATAGAGAATACCTTTCATTACATATATTCTAAAATAGCGATTTGTACCTCCTTTCACATATTCCATAACGAAGAAGAGTCGGTCAAACGTTTGGAAACAACTGTGAATGGCTGTCAGGAAAGGATGTCTAGCTGCGAGGGTTAAAATCCTCTTTTCCGTCATCGTGCAGTCCACGTCGTCGTCTTGAATAATGACACTTTTCTTCAAGATTTTCACGGCGTAAATCTCATCGGGATTAGCTTTTCGTTCGACTAACATTACTTTACCGAAACTACCTTTACCGAGGACCTTAATAAAATTAAAGTCATCTAAACCAAATTTTCTTACATCGCTGCTGTTAGTTCCATCATCTTTGGTATAAGAGTCCCTGTGACTCGTCTGGGAACCGTCCATACCCATTTCGTCCGATTGTTCTTCTGCCAGTTCGTCCGTCAGTTCATCTGACTGATCATCTGAGTGTCTTTTTGACTGTTTTCTCGACTCATCTTTATGTTCTTTTATCGTTTTTTCTTTCTGTCCTTTTTTCTGTCCCTTCTTCATTCCCTTTTTATCTTTTTTAAAGTTCTTGTCATCTTGATCTTCTTCCTTTTCTGCAATTGTTGGTGTTTGCGGACGTGAAGATACTCTAATTTTCGGAGCTCTTGATTGCTTGTTTGCAGAGAAATTTATCGTCTTCAGAATTTCGCTCATAGCCTTGGTATTGATACCACAACTATTTGGAACATTCTTTTGACATCGTTTATGAACATTCATGTTACAAGCTGCACGAAAAGAAATACAATGCAATTTAATAAGTTTACTTTTAATGAGAGAATTTTCGTTAGAAATATAAATGGTTGCGTTACCTTCGCATTGTAAGCCCTGCTTGAACAGACCGTATAGTAAGGATCCGCAGTGGTCACAAAATGTAAATCTTTTATAATTATGAAGAGCAAAGCGATGGGGAACGTCTATATTGAAGCGCGCTATTTCTGTGCCTTGGTTCGCTGCAGGTATTCCAGCAACTGCGGTTGCACCCTAAGTGAATCATTTGAAAAACCACAAACTTAGAGGACAAGAACAACAAAACAATGAGACCTAGTAGAATAAAATTAAAATTGGTGATATAAACAAACAAATATATATATATGTATAATTTATGAATTAAAAATTATTCGTAGATAGTTAATTAATTGGAGATTAGAAAATGCGTAACATGTTCAAAAATTCAATAATCTGAATAATATCAATATGTAAAATAGCTCATAATATTTCTATTATGTCACGTCATTGTAGAAATAAGCGATAAACATACCTCATCTTTCATTCCTGGACATTTGGTTATCACCAACATGTGACATCTCTTGTGGACTACGCAAGTGCATACTGAAACAGCAATACGTAAAGTATCCCCTTATAAAAATGCTCATTTCCAAGACGTAACGCCAAGTATACAGCACGTCCAAAGCTATAGCTGCATGCGTGATAAGACGCATCCGGAAATTATTTACAGTACCATACCATAAGCAGAAATAAAATTGTGATTCACTTAATATTATCTTCGACACGAAGTAGGCAGGAGTTTTGAGATACCAAAAATATTACCAAGCACTAAAAGATGGCGTGTTTGGAATTTTTATCGAAGGGCAACATGCAATAAACCGACTACTTGGCCACAGATCTAAATTGTATCGAAGCAAATGAAATGAAATCGGGAGACCTAACCATCGTATTAAGAATAACAAAGATCCTTATATGACTAATACAGCCATAAGTACTGAAATATTTTATTGTGAAGCAGATTAATCCCAAGGCGGTCATATGTGTACTGGTTGCGGTGGAACAGAAAGTGCATGAACTGATGCGATACAAATTTGTAAGGCGCTATATGGTAGTTAACAAAGCGTCAAAAAAGTAAGCTGTTAAAATCGATTGATTAAGAGTCTTAATTGTGATTTTTTTTTCTCGTCGCTAAAACTATAATCGCACGTACACACTCGTAACTGCACACACATTCATACGTATAAGGGTGCGGCAAGCGGATACATAACTATAATCTGTTAATAACGGTGTATGTGTCTTCTCACCTTGACACTGATAGCCCTGCTTGCCAAAGCCCCTGAAATATAACAGACAAAACACGTCACATCGTATCCTCATAATCTCTCCTAAGACACATACGTTTGCCTTCTTCAATCATGCTTAGTCATCATCTATGTTAGACTCCTTGATTTTTAGATGATTATAAGGACTTGCGCGCGATGAGAAAGATT